GTCGCGAGCCTAGTTAGGCTCGGAAACCTTATTTGCCCACCCCACGTTAATGCCCCATCTGTTTCCTACGGAATCCTACCCCACCTGTACTCTCTAACATACGAGCGAGAGTACCGTGTATCTGCTGTACGTGGCACTGTCCAGCACGTATAATAACCCCTGCCTCGTCGCCCAACACCCCGTCTCCGCTGTCCCTTCGACTGTGCTGCTGCCCGCTTCCGGGCCGACTCCGGTAAGGGTCTGGTAATAGACCCCTAAGACGCTGCCCACGTCACTGCCGCGGCGCTTCGTCGGCGCATCCCGCCTCTCTGTCGTTGTCCACCGACCCGTCATCGTCGTCGCCGACGACGAGCACAACCTCTTGCTTATATGTAGTTGTAAAAATGTACAATAAATCTCGTTAAATACAGAAAATTCATGACATTGACTGGACATATCAGTGCTGTCACTTGAGCACTGCTATCGAGTGTCGCCACCGTCGTAAACCCCGAGCTCGTCGCACCCGTCGGCGGCGGCAGCAGCGGTGGCCCTCAAACTAATGGACAGACATCTTTTTAATCATGTACTCACATCTCAAGCCATCTGTACGCATTTGAGATGACCATATATGTGCATTCTCACCTTTCTCGTAGTGTACATGCCACAGAATAGAAATTAGCAACAGTGGCGGTGCTCTCAGGCGAAGGGACTGCCCAAAGCATCATCTTAACAGTGCAGTACAACCTGGAGGTCGTGAACAGCACCACAGAGATGATCCTGAAGCACCTAGTGTGCAGAAGCAACCAGAAGAGAGGATATGAGTGCAAGGAAGAGCAGAAAAGAACACAAAAGATGATGGCTAAAGAGAGAAGATAGAGCCTCAAATATCGGGCCCTGTAATGCCTTGAAATGCGCAACTGAACCTGGAGGAGAACCGTACAATGGGAGGGGGAAAGGTGCGAACGTACAGGCAGAGTGCAAGCAGACTAACAGTAGGTACTCACCGTCAGCCATTAGCCCATGTTCATAATATCCCGTCCGCTCAATGAAATTCAAACACGTAGCGAATGCCAGAGAGGCTGAACAGAGTGAAGAGGGGATACGTGCAGGTGTCGAAGATATACTCACCGGGTCATGGCCAGAGGGTAGGAACCTTACACTAGGGCCTTATACAGTCCCCAATGTACCGTTAGTTATCCATTAAACGCGGTGACATCGCAGTATAGACGGTTACTTACCTATAACCTCCGTTTGATTTCGTCGCTATGCACTGGTTGATGTCCATAAACCTAGAATATTTCCCATGGGCTGTGAGACATAACAAAACATTGCGAGCGAGATATACAGATGAACCAGCCCAGTGGCACGGGTGACGAGGTCAGGTTCGAAGGCACCGTGACCCAGTCGTGACGGCAGGAAGCGAAGGCATCGTATTCGGACAGAATGCGGTGGCTGGACTTCCTCCGAGCTCTCATCTACATTCCACTCATGAACTCTGGTGTCGACATGTCTACGCTTGCGACGTGCACGTTCATACCGCCCTTCACGCCGCTCTAGCTGTTACGACATATTTGAAAGGGCTATACGATCGCTCGGAAGCCGGTGGATTAATGTGCGGTAGGATGACGGGCCGGATCCCAGTATACTTGCAATGCGGTTGCAACGATTACGCTGCAGTTCTTCCTCTTCTTCTGTAAGTCTTCCGTCATTAAAGCCTTATTCCTTCAATGTCTGCCTACCCCATTGCTCGAAGTACAATTGTTTTACTGTTTCATTCACTTGCTATCAATTGGTATACCTCCGTCGTGCTTGATGTTATTATGCTAGCGTTCGCCCGTGTGTATCAAGGATTTCCTATATGATACAACACATATTACTAGTATACAAGGAATATATCATGTTTTTGGAGGCTCCATACGGATGTCCACCGCTGCCGCCGCCGACGGGTGCGACGAGCTCGGGGTTTACGACGGTGGCGACACTCGATAGCAGTGCTCAAGTGACAGCACTGATATGTCCAGTCAATGTCATGAATTTTCTGTATTTAACGAGATTTATTGTACATTTTTACAACTACATATAAGCAAGAGGTTGTGCTCGTCGTCGGCGACGACGATGACGGGTCGGTGGACAACGACAGAGAGGCGGGATGCGCCGACGAAGCGCCGCGGCAGTGACGTGGGCAGCGTCTTAGGGGTCTATTACCAGACCCTTACCGGAGTCGGCCCGGAAGCGGGCAGCAGCACAGTCGAAGGGACAGCGGAGACGGGGTGTTGGGCGACGAGGCAGGGGTTATTATACGTGCTGGACAGTGCCACGTACAGCAGATACACGGTACTCTCGCTCGTATGTTAGAGAGTACAGGTGGGGTAGGATTCCGTAGGAAACAGATGGGGCATTAACGTGGGGTGGGCAAATAAGGTTTCCGAGCCTAACTAGGCTCGCGACTCCGTCTACAG